CCAAAACAAAAAAAAAAAAACAAAAAAAAAAAACAACACCCAAATAAGCCTTTTTTTTGCGCGGTTTTTTTTTTTTTTTTTTTTTTTTGACAACAATAATAAGACTAAGACATACATATATAAACGCGATAATAAACGAAAAGCCTAAATATAATAATGACATAAACGTCTTAAATTAAACGTTTTTTTCTTCTTCTTCTTCTTCTTCTTCGTACTGTTAGTATGAAATATTTAATTAATCGTCAATTTTCCTTAACATCATCGGTAAAAAAATTTGAAATTCAAGATCAACAAAAAAATGAATATAAAGTAAAAGCAACATTAGTAAATGATAAAACACAATTTAATGTTAAAATTTCTAATATATTAAAAAAAGATGAATGGTGTACAATTGAACCGGATACAACTCAACAACATTGTTATAAAATTAATTTAAATAATAGACAATTTGCAATAATTAAATATTATTTTCTTCAATCAAATAATGTTATGTATCATATTAATATTGATTCAAAAAGACAATATTCAGTATGTAGTGTCGATTTAAAATATCGTGTATTAACAATTATTGATACAATATTCAATAATTTAATTGGTGATAGTATGAATAAAGAGGATGGACAAGTATTAATACAAGTATCAGATTTATTTTCAAAATTAACAAATACTTATCATGTAACGGTTAATGATGATAAATATCCACTTGGATATTTAGCTATTGCCGTTCTACTTGATTTACATGAACGAAAACGTTATGATTAGAAAAAACAATATGTTTTGTACTCGAAAATGTGATATAAATATAAATAATAAATGTTTGAAACATTTTATTTGACGATCATCTCATATTATTTGTGTAATTTATAATGTTTTCTAGAGTTTTTATTCATTTGCCTTTGTTTAAAATGAAACTATGAGACGATACAAACGCCACTAATGTGTAAGTAATACATCACGATTTTATTTTTTATCAAAAAAAAAAAAAAATTTTATGTCGAAGTAGTCGACATGTTTTTTATAACTACAGAATGAAAAGTTAATTTTAAATTGATCAAGTTGAATAAATAAGCGAGCAGACAATAGTTTTCAGCTAAAAAAATATTACCATTAAGGCAATTAAACGTTATTTTTATCGTCCTGTTACCATTTAATTTTCTCAAATTTTTTTACTTCATCAAAATGATCTGTTCCTTTTCTATTGTTCATATTATTTGTGATTTTAGAAATTAGATGTTCTTAAAATGGTAAATTATTTACACATAATATATGCATATAGAGTTTTTTACAGAGCTATTTGATCCAAAGTAAATAATGTAATATGATCGATTTATCATTTACGAGCATACAGTCTGAGAGATTACACCATCTAGAAAATTTCTTTTTGATTATATTTGATAAGTGCAAAGGCAATATTTAGATACATGACGCATTTGTTTGTGTTTTTTGATCGTTTAATCGCTAGCATTAAGAGTTAAAACTACTGCAAACACATTACTATGATTTCTAAATTATGGTAATACAAGGCTGAATTCTCTATATCTTATATACAGATTATCGAACTAGAATGTTAACATATGTATCCATCTTTTCCGTCTATCCGCTCATTCGTGAAATGACAAAATGATAGATAATAATTTCACGAACGTCAACGTATGCATTTAAATTTTTTAATTTCGAAAAGAACGTTGTTTTCAAAGAGAAGCTTTAATCTCCTGTAAAGTCAGGTGCATTCAATATTGTGAATTTGAGGAGAACATCTGACTATATATAAGTCATAAACCAATAAATATTTATAGAGTTATTGATCAATTAAGTTTAAAATTTAATTAAACATTGAATTACTGGTTTCCATTTTAAAAAGCTTGCAGCTCGGTCAAAAGTGTCCTTTTTTTGTAAGGGCATGTGAAAAACAACCTTTCTGATCAAGAAAACAAAGTAGAAGAAAGCAGAACACATTTTCTGAGTAAGAAATATTGATCATCATTCCAGTGAAGAGCGCAGAGAAAGAGATGATCGTGCTGAATTTGAACAATAATCACGTTTTACGATAAAAGAATTCATAGCAATATCGAGCAATAAACGTAACGATGAATAATGTGATATGTAACGGGTAATGATCCATATCAATGTGCACTGTTTTCTTATTGTAAAGGTTTAATTCTTCTTTGACATGTACCTTAGCTGACTATATGCTGCAGGTAGTTGAGTATCATAGTGAATATGCTTGAGACCAGGTACTTGAATCGTCGTGCCATCAGATTTACTATGCACTCACTTATAACCCTGGCACCATTATCGGCTTCATCATCACCCGTTACATATTATTACAAATTCCATTGTAGTGGTGGTAGTCATCATCAACAGTCAGATTTAAAAGAATTAATCATTGTTTTATCGGAACTAAATACTAATTTTAAACGAAATGTCAAAGTATTACAAGATTACGAGTCATAAAAGTTTTTTTATATCTTTAGCAAAAAAGCAAAACAAAAAGCTAAAATAAAACAATAATAACATTTTTACCGTTAAATATTGCTCGATTTCATCTTTATAATGATTTAGTTTTGAAATAATTACGTTTTGAACTGAAACTCCGTGATTTTGATGCGTTTTTGAATAAAGACGAACACTGTGTAAGACTTAATACTTATCAATTTTATAAAATACTTGTTCAACTATTTCTTAAGTATTTTCAAAACCACTTGCTTGCCAGCTACTTGCTAAATACCTGAATCAGGTGTGAAATTTCATACAAGTACTTGTAAGTTATCTATAAGAAAAATTACTTGTGAAAAACCATCAGGGACTGGCTTCTTCACTTGTATCAAGCACGTTTTGCAGTGCTTGGCTTCAAATACATTCACTTTTTGATTTGTTTTCTTTTCTCGTCTTTATTGTAATGTTATGCAGTTTAATTCTCGCATAATTATCGTCTGTTTTTTGCTCTATCACTTGATGGCACTTGACATATATACACATCTTTATATTTATATTTTTCTTTCACTCTACTTATACCATCCTTATCTTAAATTTACATACAGTTCCATCGTTCGATAACTAAATCGATATGTCAGAGAAAAGTATATTGACTTATGTCTATCTTTTCTCTTAGCATTCTGCCTGTTCTGGAGAATGAGATACTCCCTTCTTCAAATATCGAAATGAAAAATCAAATCAAATGCATTTGAAATAATCTGATAATCTGTTATGATTGTCACAACTAAGTTGAGGTAAAAATGTCGACAAAAGTAACTTTGTCTCTCATGCATTTTGAATGTCTTAGTATAAATATAAAGCGAATTCCATTTAATTGAAGTTAATCTTTCATACCTTAAATGTAAGATTCAAAATAGTGTGATATTATAAGATCAACTTCAAAAGTAAACAAATTTTCTTCTATTGTTAACAATCTCGGTTTCTGTTGATTAGCGAGAGAGCCTAGAAGATCAGTTTTGAACAAATGTCTAGATCTTTTGATTACTAATAATTTGGTATTTTCTACAAGAAATTAATATTTTACCTAAACTGTGTGACTAATGTTATCATGCACCTTTCCTAACCAAGATTCTTCAGTGACTACTTTAGCACCCATTTAAAAAAATATAAAATTATAAACGTGCAGATTGGAATGTCTATCGTTTCTCTCATGTATAAAACTCAATAGTTGTTTATATCAATGTTCTTCAACGAATATCAAATCTATATATAATTACAAAATACCACGATAACTGCCTTTATTGTGATGTATCATACGCACAGATTCATCGTAATGTAAGATATGATCATGCTACTTTAGTCGAGCATCACGTTACAGAATTCTGCAAGATGTTTACTTCTATTTTTAATGTCTGATCAGCATTAGAGCATTCCATTATTGCGTACAATTAATAGTCGAAGTTGGTATAAGTGAGTTAGTATAAGACTTTGTGGTCATGATTATAATATTCGTTGATCGTGATAACGCTACCAATCCAAATATAAAGCAGTTTTTGTGTAGACCAATATCATATATTATCATGACAAACCCGATACATAACGCGATAATACTATACATCACGATGAATCTGTTCCATTGCAATATGGATATTTATCGCGATAAGTCGGAATGCTGAGATGTATTTGATTAAGTACATCAGAAAAATCCTTGTGAAATTTGAATATTTGTAGCTTGTTTATGGTAAAATTCTAGTGTATAGCTTGAAAAAGTTTCTCTCATTCGAGTGTGATGTAAAATCTTAATCCGACGACATAGTCAGAAGAATCGACTAAAATAAAAATTGTTACATATATCTCGTTATGCGTACTTTCGTACAGTTTCTTTTTCTAACAAAAAACTTCCACTTTTGATAAGTTGAGAATGGTATAAAGCGAGACCCAAATGTAAATTATTTTCATATAAATAATGTATTATTTTATGTAAATAATTATTAACTATTCTAGGTTGTTCTTTTCTATAATTTTGATCATTCTTCGGTTCTGGCAGATTCAATGAGTGATGTATTCAACTTCCATTGAAAGAAAGAGAACAATCCAAGTTAACTAATTAATTAGCTCATTTGATCTAAAGTTAACTAAACACATGCAGTCGCTGTTTTCTTAGCGTAATTTCTGCCTTTTAATAAATTCTTGCTCTCATTATTTTAAGGAAAAAAAGTTAGCAATCGGAAAACAATCAGCATGTAGGGCAGAACATCATAGTGTCACTTTTTTCCATACTAACAAAAACGTGTAAGTTAAAACACTAGTTGCATGTACCTACTATTCTTTTCATAATCTCTGGTAAACGTGATTGATTGCAGGACAGCATGGACCGTCTAATTCTATTTTTTCATGCTTTTGTGTATAAATAGATGGCTAAACAGTACTGTGCCACTAGTCTGAACAGAAAATAGTCTATGAAGCAAAGTTTTATATATAATAACAGAAAAGAACAGCACATTCAGCATATTTCAGAATTTTACTTTAAGGTGCCCCTCCCCCCGTCAGAAACCTATCTCTGAGAGTATAAGTCTCATCTTGACCAAACCAAGATAGTATAGATTTTTGTGACTTTTATATATATACTAAGCTCTACGATTTTGAATAAAGGGCAAATCCGTCTGAAGTGTCCCACATTTTACAAAAGCTTTTCCGCTTCATTTAAAACCAATCTAGTTTTACAGAGTACATCAAGGTACGTAAGAAACTGTCTTTTCTGACTTCATAACTGATGCAGAACTCGACTTTTACTCTCCCAGCAAAATTATCGGATTCGGTGCCGCTGAATTGATCAGCACCGCGATGAATCCGAGACATGAACTATATTCTCTACAACTTTGAAGAATGTTCCATGTACGGTTGACGGGATATTGAGCTTTTTCGACCTCTCATGACCACCGTACAAAACTGTTAGGTTAGGAAAAAAGAGCAATGGCCGGTCAGCTACAGCCAAAATCCAATAATTTTGCTGGGAGAGTAAAAGTCATTTTTCTCGGGTTCTGCATTATTCATTTCGATTATAACTGTCGTACTAATATCACCATCAAAAAGCAAGTTCTATCATTCACGAATCATATTACAAAGTAAAACGATATAATCTTAACAGAAAAAGAAACTTTTATGATGAAAGATTTTTTCCTTAATGTGATTGAGGCATAAAACAAGTGGCAATAGTGGTTTATCGTGAATCCTTCACCAAACCAGTGGAAACAATGTCAAAACGTATCGGAGAAGATTGAGATAATTGCATTCTCAGACGTTAGAACAAATAAATATATGAAAATTCGCTGAATATTCGAATACAAATTTAAGTAAACTTCGTGATTATGCAAACTATGATGACTTATCCACACACTAAACGATTGTTTGGACGAACAGGAAAAGTAGATGTTGGTGCTGAAGACATTTGTAATAGTGGATGCTGTGATAATGTAGATGGATTCAAACGAGACACAGCCGGGCAAAAGTCAGTCGAATGATCAACAGCCTGACAGTGGTCACAATTGCGAGCACGTCGCCCCGCAAAAATAGAAAAATATAATTTATCATCTCGTACCGACCAGTCAATTTTGACACCACTTGTAGATAGAATTGCAGCAGCTTTACTAGAAAACTGTTTATGGTATTCAAAAAACAATGGTGGTGGAAACGTTGTGGCCATTTTAGCAATAAAACTGAGGTAATGAGTAAGCTCCTCTCGACGCTCAGGATGAACGTCGCACATAACATTTAAAAAAATTTAACAAAAGCCAAAAGAAATTCAGATAAACTTAACGATTTAAACAGACGTGGATCAAATTGTTTAAACGTTAAAGGACTAATATCTTTATGATCATCACGATACTGTGCTGCTGCTGTTTCGGCTGGCATTAAAAGATGGTGCAGTGGAACGTCACGATCTTCACAGATAGGAGACTCGGCGTTACATATTCTGTTATATTGATATTAGTATTACCTGTTCCACCACGAGCCTTACTATTTATACAATTATATAAACTGTACGTACGCGGTGCAATTTTCGTAACATTCATTTCATTTGTATCTCCATCATTGTCTAAATTGGCAACACTTTGAGACGCAAATAACGGCCATGAACCAGCAAATAACGGTGATGAACTGATTGATGATGAATCACCCCTCTGCGCATGTTTATTAAAATTACCATTTCCAGTCAAACGTGCAACTGTTCCAAAACGACTTTTTTATTCTGGGTGGTAGAACCATGCCCTTTTTCTTTAATTCAGAGAGCATTTGTTGTTTAGTTAACGTTTTTGATGAGCGACCGGTTGATATAGTCTTCTTATAAGCCGTAACTTTCGGTTTAGTTTTCCTTGTTAACACCATTATAAACAGTACTATGATTAGTTGTTTAGGAGCGAAGAAGAATGAAAAATTTTTAAGAAACGAAATTATAACTTGTTGATTTTCTAAACTGAAAATGAAGTGAAAATGAAACGAATTCAAAACCTCTTATCTTAGCGATGATGTGTCGACCCGGGTTACAACCGAAAACAAGCGCCATAATCGTCGAAATCTCTGAGTCATGAACCTACGTTAATGCTTGCCCTAACATTCGTTAAGGGGCTTTCCGTGTCGCATTAACTGACACCAGACTAAATCCCTGTACACTGAAGAGCTTTCCTAATCTACAATTGTAATGAACACTTCATGATAATAATACCTTTCAGATCACGATATCGTGAAAGATAGCTAGCTAAAAATAAAATAAAATATTTTTTGAAAAGATTGAGTTTTTTCGACTACATGTTTCATTCCACAGAAGACTGACATATAACTATATTTTCGTGTTTTGAATAGGAATATTTTTGTTCGACAGAAAACGTGTCATACGATACACACGAACATTTTGCTGGACTTCGTGTCTCGAACATTCAGACGTGAGGCTTTCCAGAGGACTTTTGGAAAACCTCCTTCTGTATCGTTTCAAAACCAAATGCGCTAGATGCGGTAGGTGGACTGACGAAGTTTTTTACAGACATATGTTGAAGAACAGAAAACAGTTAATGCATTCGAAATTGTTATGGTTGATAACTGGCAAAATGCTGGCAACATATTAAATGAGAAACCGCCACTGAGTCTGAAATCTTTGTAGTTTGAACAATTGACGATTTAATCGAAAGTGACTGTTTTTGCAAAACAAATCACTGCAGCATGATCGATTTTTGTGACATGGAATGGGGATATGTAGAGTACGAGAATGAACCGGACAATTGTAAATCGAGTTGATAATAATTCATTTTCTATTACATGAACATGAGTCGTTCGTTTCCATCTGAACATATTGAATTTCTTATAAAATCATTGAGACTACAAATTTCATACATTGGTTTATAGTTTGTCTGACATGTATTGTGTGATGCTACAACAATTGGAACACTTAATCATTCTATGTCGATGGCTGAATATATGAACCAATGATGAAGTTTTCAACACACTATGTTTTCCATACGTCTCAGATTCGTGCGCATCATGAACTGTGTTGTAGTTTCATGATTTTCCATGATGCCAATCCATTATCCGCAAGGTGTACATTACTAGCCGTTCGCTAATAGAAACATCAACGACATATTTAGTACTGGTGATAATATTATTACTCCAATAAACCGTTGGAAAGCGAAGAATTTTCTCTGTCGAATAGGACAATACATATCTCGGCTCCTCAAATATGGTTTCGGCCAGCTTTATGTGTACACGAACAAGTCGATTTTAACGCGTACTACTAACGACGTTTCTGCGACAGAGCACTCCTGTCTTCGTTTTCTACACGTCAGAAGTGAGGCATGTCCCTCTGCACAGGAGATATGCTGTGTCAGAGCTGTTTTGTCCTTATTTGTTATGCCACAACCAAAACAACGAGTTTCGTTTCTGTTTGTTAGCCCGCACAAACTTTATTCGTAAGAATAAACTTACAAAATGTCAAAAACAAAAACCCTCTCTGTAGAAACAAACACTGTATATATATATATATATATTAAGAACTCAACCAGAACTGAGCAACATTCTTCGTGGTCATGAGAAATGAAAACAGATGAAGAAAGAATGTTGACTGTGACTAAGTCAACATTCTTTGTTGTCATCAGAACAGAACAGAATGTCAGTGACGACTGACATAACACCGTTGCAAAACGATAGCAGAAAAGAAAAACAGAAAGGCGTAATATCACCATGGAAACACTTGAATGCTGTTGGCAAAAACATCACACCTATTCAGTCTTCTGTCTACAACTGACAGCAGAATGAATACAAACGCCGATTTCATATCATCAAGAGGGATGCAGCATAACTTATCAGACCGTTTGCTCACTACTTGTGGCAACGATGAATGTTTGAAGCAAGCACCGAATGGTAAGCAGATCATGTCTTCTTCAACCGCATTCATTCTGGCAAACGCACAAACATGATGATTGCAATATATTGAGAATAGTGGAGAGAGAGATGACATCCATGATCATGAGCATAGTAAAATGCTAAAGGCTCGCTATCCATCCATAGAATAAAACCCACGCTAATACCCGAAAGAACAATCACTGAATGCAACACTACTAGTCACATTCGAGAGTGAGTATGCACCTTGCCATTCTCCCTCGTTTATGCTTCACAGGCTCTCATCATAGACGAGAGACCACAGATACGAACTCTTGACCTGAACTTTCATCGCATCAGCAAATCCAGATGTCACTTTATCTGCAAACACTTTCCATCAACGGCACAAGTTCGTTCTCTGTATCTGTCTGAACAGACCTTCGATTACTTTGACTTGTTCTTCACCCACTCTTCCAAGAACACAGTGGTGAATCTTCGCTCCTTGTCGCTGCTCGCCATCAACTCAGAACAAGTGATGAAAGTGCTGCTGCGACAGTTGTCCTGCATGTCCCAGCTATCGTCATTCACACTGCGTATAAAATCGAGCGATTTCGACCGCACAACAGTTCAGGACGTTTCTGACCAATTCACTGCCCTCGTTGCAAACGAGTTCAAAGTCACTCAACTTAATCTTAGCCGGAACCAAATATCCGAGAGAGGAGGTGCAGCACTAGCAGACGCACTGAAAGTAAACAACACTCTCACTCAACTTGATCTTACTGGCAACCGAATATCCGAGAGAGGAGGTGCAGCACTAGCAGACGCACTGAAAGTAAACAACACTCTCACTCAACTTGATCTTACTGGCAACCGAATATCCGAGAGAGGAGGTGCAGCACTAGCAGACGCACTGAAAGTAAACAACACTCTCACTCAACTTGATCTTACTGGCAACCAAATATCCGATAGAGCAGGTGAAGCACTAGCAGAAGCACTAAAAGTAAACAACACTCTCACACAACTCGATCTTGGAAACAACGAAATATCCGATAGAGGAGGTGAAGCACTAGCAGAAGCACTGAAAGTAAACAACACTCTCACTAAACTTGGTCTTACTGGCAACAAAATATACAAGAGAGGACGTAGAGCACTGGTAGAAGCACTGAAAGTAAACAACACTCTCACTCAACTTTATCTTACTAGCAGCAAAATATCCGATAGAGGAGGTGAAGCACTAGCAGAAGCACTGAAAGTAAACAATACTCTCACTCAACTTTATCTTACTGGCAACAAAATATCCGATAGAGGAGCTGCAGCACTAGCAGAAGCACTGAAAGTAAACAACACTCTCACTCAACTTGATCTTACTAGCAGCAAAATATACGATAGAGGAGGTGAAGCACTGGCAGAAGCACTGAAAGTAAACAACACTCTCACTCAACTTGATCTTGGAGGCAACTAAATATCCGAAAGAG